TTCTCAAAATTGTCAAAACCAATTGATTTAGCAGGAAATTTTAGTTCTAAATTCTAGAGAGTAATTTTAATCTAACCAAAAATTATTTTTCCTATAGATCTGTGAAAGAAATATTTAAAAAAGTCCCTAAGTCAAAAGTCGCCACTTGGTGGAGAATCACCCATATACCTAAATGCATTGTGGATGTAAAAGAAAAAGAAAAGATTTGCATGCGAGTCTTGCAATCTGTGGAGAGCAATGAACTGCAAGCAAGACCTTCGCTTTAATTTTAGACCTACGGAATTGAGTTTTACTGTGTTTCGCAGCCAAATAGAAGAAATTTATTATTTCGAAAAAAAGGCAGAGCAAGAAAGAGAGAGGAGAAAAAAAATGTCCGAAACATACAAAGTCCATTTTCACTGATGCAAACTCTACAATATACAAAAGGGGGATTTTAACAATCTGAATATAATACATGAAATTTTATATATATACATTTAAAAACGAAACATTTTCTGAAAGGTCAAAGAAAAAAAAATAATATGTATATATACTTGTAAGACCATGAAAAGAACACAGAAAAGAAAAAGAAAGAATTGCGAAAAACCCGCGGAACCTTCAGTTATTGCAAAGTGGAGGGCGAGGATCTCAACAATCTCCACGGCAATTTCGGCATGAAACGAATCTTGTGACATAAAAAAGAAAAATAATAATAATAAAACACTGCGGTCTCACTTTCTTATAACCAAGGTCAACATAAATGGCCACTATAAAATCACAATTAACATCTGCAGTTAAAAACGACGAGTGTAATTATATACTGCCTCAAAAGAAGAAAAAAATAATTCCAAACCAATGTTGCATATCAGAATTGAAATTAAATTTTCGAAAACAAAAAGTTTCTTCCAAGAAATGTTTATTTCTCTTTAATATCTATTATTATATCTCTCTATTCTCTTAACTATTAATTTACTGCTATTTATTATAAATTAAGTAAAAATTTAAACTACCGTCAAATAAAAGTAACAAAAGATGTAAAAAGTCGTTTATAATTTCTAAAAAAGTACCATCTACTAAAAATTAATTTGTCGTTTTCAAAGGAAAGTCCTTCTTAATTTTTAAAACATCAAATATTTTTTAATTTCTTTTTCATAATCGTTAATATTTTCTGCAGCATTTTTTTGAAGTTAATTATCTGCAAATAGGGTATTTGAGTATTTTTTTTAATTTTATGGGCGCCAAATACCTTTAAATTCCTTTTGTTTCTGGAAATAGATCTGAAATGTAATTTATAGTTTACTAAAAAAAATTGTTGACCCCTACGGACCAAAAATTAATTTAAAATTTAATTTGTCCTTTTCTGATAAAATACACAAGTCCTCCTTAATTTTTAAAACGTCAAATTTCTGTTTCACAATGGTAAATATTTTATTATTTTTATTTACGTTGTTAATTGTCTGAAAATAATGTATTTGCGTATTTTTTAATTTTATGGGCGCCAAATACCTTTAAATTTCCTTTTCTTCTAGAAATAGATCTGAAATGTAATTTATACTTTATTAAATGAAAAATCATTGATCCCTACACAAAAAATTCGATAAAAATTTCATGTCTTCTTAAATTCGAAATTCTTCCTTAATTTTTAAAATGATGAATATTTTTAAATTTCATTTTCAGTCATAAATATTTTCAGAAATGTTATTTATGTAGTTTTAATTATCTGAAAATAATGTATTTTTTAATTTTATGGGCGCCAAATACTTCTAAATTCCGTTTTACTACTGAAAATTGATGTTTAGTGTCACAATTTAAAAAAAAATTCTCCTTTAAAATAATTCTCCGATGGTGAAAAAAGATGGAAAAAGTAAAAATTGTCAAAATCGGTGCCAAAATTTCTAACAAATGAAAAAAGGAATTTTTCAGAATAGAAAGGAAGCTAAACCAATTTATAATAAAAGCAACTTTCACGATCCATATTTACCCCTCATGTTCAATAATTACCCCTATTGACGGTATTTATAAATTGTATTAGATTTCTCCCTCCTCTTTGCAGAAGAGAATGGTTCGTTTTATTTTACAATGAGATTGTGAGAATATTTTTCAAAAGAATGATGATTGGCTTCATATCGAACTTGTAAATACAGCATCATCTTTTAAATAAGACCCCAGGGATAGTTAAGAAGTATTTGAACCACTTGTTCATGAGAATACCGTTCAGTGTATGATGGTACAGGAATATAAAACATATATATATACATAACATACACTCTCTTTATATAAAACATATATCTAAACGTGTATATAGAAGAAAGAGGTTTCTTCTCCTCGAGCACACAAAATGGCTACAACGTGTCCGACGTCACGCATCGCTACGCGTGTGCTCACACCCACTTCCTTTTTATGCCACTCCCTGGCCCAAAACCTGGTTTAGACATTGAAGAGTCTAGACAAGCTTATAAACCTTCTGGACTTCCATTTAAATAAAACTATGACAACAAAAGTGCATTGACGATATGATAATCATTCATTTCCTGAAAATTCTATCAACATATGGCAGATGTCAAAATTATCAATAATCAACAAATGCAAAAAAAAGGAATCTAATCTGATTTATGCAAATAGCATTCCCCTTTGATAAAAGATACTGATTATAACTGTTGTTGAAGATCTGATCAGATTTCCCGCAACGAGTTGACCGATGAGCGCGCAAGTAATGCAAAAGTCCTGTTAAAGCTGCGTGATCTAAAACAGTCGAGAGAAGCCGGAAGTAAAGAATTATAAATATAGAATGGCGGGTGGCAGACTTGAGTCTCGGGCGTAAATAATTTTCCGCAAAGTGATTTGATGTATCGGCTAGAGAGAGAGAGAGAGAGATGGAGAGCTAAAGAAATAAGGAATTAGGAGTATAAGTAATAGGTAATGGAAAACGCGCTACGGACACGCGAGATGAATCTGGTCACGGAGAATCATCCTCGCCCACGCGGCAACGTCCCTTGGGCCTCGGAGCAAAAAACAAGAAGGAAAGACGGTTACTCCACTGTGAATACGAAGAGGAGGGAAAAACTCTATATGAAGAAAATAAAGAGAGAGAAGATCCGTGCGCGTTCTTAAGCAGTGTGCTACCCAGTGCAGCGAAAAAAAAAGACTAGGATGCAACAAAAAAGGAACAGCACAAGAAGAAACCGGTTTTTTCCAGTTGGGCCAGGTCGGGGCGTCGAACCTTCGGACCGCAGCAGCCTCCCTCCGAGAATAACTTGCATGCAATGATGCTTTTGCAATTCTTTCTCAACGTGCTCTCACTTGCCCTAGGTCTTCTCAAAAAAACGACGCCAAAAACTCAGCACCCAACACCAACGTACACTGCGAAACACAAAAAACCAAAGAACAGACAACACCAAAGAATACATACAAAAAAAATAAAAGAAAAAAGTATGTTTAAAATCGCGTAAGCCCACAAAGAAAATTATACACGTTGACCCATTTTCCTTTTTTTCTTTATTATTTAAACATCGAGCAAGGTTACCCGCCATTTTTTTTCCAAGACCTTCGAAGTCGCGTTTACACATACACGAATAGCAAAAGGGGAGAATAAAAAAAAAGAATGATAGCCAATGACCGCGAGAAGTTCTTTCACCGGTGACCAGATCTGCTGCACATGCACAGCAGCAGTGAATTAAAAATTAGCTAATTAAAATTAAATAAAAAATACTTTAACGATAAAAGAAAAGGACGTCGAATTTCGTCTTTAAAACAATCATAATATTAGATTTATATTTACTGCCAATCATTGAATCTATGCTTTGCATATGCTCATATCCTATGTCCCGATCATTCGCGCGAGGACATGCGAGGTCGATCGAAACAGTGACAGTAAGGATGCTTATAGAGCAAATGCCAATTAGATGAATTTTGTCGCTTCCGATGAAGGAACCGATGATTTTCGATCGACTTTCCTGAAACTCGCAGCTTTCATAAAATTCATTTACTTGGGCTTTGCTTCAATTCCTCTCTCCTATCATTCTCCAACTTTCTTCCCTAAAAAAAATTCTAGTCAAATTTCCAGATGTTTCTTTTTTTGAAAGTCTTTGTTGTACAACAACTTGTAACTAAAGATAGTATTGTAAATTTAGAAACGAGTGCAATTGGATTTTTCAACGCTGAGTACGGATCTGATTATAAAAATTAGAATTTCGTCAAATTTAAATTCGATATTAACATCAGCAAAAGGAACAGTTCTCAATGACAAGATACGAATATAAAGGCTACAAATGTAACCGTTGCTTTACTAAGCGTTGTTTTAACAACCGTTGCTTTAGTGACTTGTTTTAACAATCATGACCGTAGCAACCGTTGTTTTAGTAACCGTTTTCTTGGTAACTATTACTATAGAGACAAATTCTGTACTAACCGATTTTAGAAAAACCGTCAGGTTTTTCTAGAATCGGTTAGTACAGAATTTGTCCAAATATTATTCAAAGACTATTTTTGAGCCAAAAGGAAAGAAATTCATTAATAAAATTTTTAAACAGTTGTTCTATTTGAATTTAAATAACATAACGGTAGCGAACAGATCAGATTAATTCTAGCGATGAAAAATCCGTTCATAAATTCAAGCACTTCTGAAACATCATCACCAAAAGTCAAGAATCTATTTTGAAAGGATTCCTCATCCGATAAGAATATGAAAACTTGTGATCTAATTCCTATTTTGGTTCGAAGAACATCTAAAAAGCTTGGAATATGAAAACAAAGTATCAGATCTTATTGGATTTCGAATAATTCTGGATTCTTGGCAACAAATCTCCTGATCCATTTAAAGCTCCCATTTCCCACTAGAAAAAATCCCAGTAGAAAGCAAAATCTGTGCAAGGCGTAGTCCGTGGTGGCGGCGGCAACGGTGTGCCTTAACTCTCACTGGTATCGTTCTGTTCTGTGCCCGCCTGTCCTGCGCTTCTGGTGCACAACTCTGGGTTGGTATCTGGGGTGACTCTGGTGTCTGCATATCCAATTGGCCAAACAAGGAGTTGCAACAGCGTGTTGTGTTCCAGCAACACGCCGCCCTTCTCGGCGGCCCCAACGCCACTAGCTGTCCCATCTGTCACAAGCTCTTCCTCGGCGGTGAAGCCCTCATGGAGCACATGAAGCACACCCACAAGGATCCAAATGCTTCCGGCGTTGCCAGTAAGTATCTTCAAATTTTCTCAAACCCCCCCTTCTCTCACTCAATTTTTTTTTCTCATTCAAATTTTATCAACTATATTGTCAAATTCTGATTAAATTTTTTTTTGTCCAGCAAATCTATCAAAATCTGCTTTTCGGGAAAAATTTATCTAAACACCATTTGCAGTGATATACTTGTACATACTTTTTTTCCAACACTTTACTAATTGGGTATATGCGAAAAGAATCATTTAAAAACTGGGTGAGAGAAAGAGGGTGGGAATTCTTAAAGGTGGAGAGAAGAATATTCCGTGTATGGTCTTAGGATCCTACATGTGTATTACCCGAATCGCTTTTGGTGCGGGCAAACACTTATTCGTTTATAAATATATTAGTATTATATACTTTTACTAACTTGGGTTCAACTAACACTGGAATCGTCTCGAACTACCTATTTATCTTCTATTCATTTTTTTAATGCCTGAGAGAAAAGGACACTTTATCATCCATGAACGAACTACACTCCAAATAGACTACAAGTCTAACGATTTCGATCTAATCTAACATTAGATCTTAGTTCGACAATATGTAAGAATATAATCTAAATGCAACTATTCAAATAATTTCTCATTACTGCGATGAGAAAGAGTTTCATAAAGAATAAAGAGCTTCAGAAAAAAAAGCTTTAAAACAAGCTTTCAAAAAGCTTCAAACTTAAAAAAAAAACTAGAGCTTCATAAAACCATTCAAATTTTTTTAATTTTCAAAAAGAACTGTTCAAAATACGCTTTTCTCTCAGACTATCTGACTCAAGACTTGGAACGTCGAATCTAAAAACAAGGAAAACGGAATAACAAAAAAGTCATTTAAATATAAAGGGTAAAATCGTTTGAGGAAAATTCGACTTTCCAAGTAATTGAATCAGTGCATCTGTGAATGCGGTGAAGGCTTCTTTCATCGGGACGCTTATCCTGCTTGGCATTGACCTTGACATTGTGTCGCCCTATTGTTCCCCCCGCTGACTGCACAACCTCCATTGCCGGGGCTTACCTAGCGAAGAGACGGACTGCCAATCATCCATGTCCGGTGTGCGGTAAACACTACGTCAACGAGGGAAGTCTTAGGAAACATCTAGCCTGCCATCCAGAAACGAGCCAAATTAGCAGTCTCAGGATGTGGCCTTGTTCTGTCTGCAACGCAGTCTTCACACACGAAGGCGGTAAGTATCATTCATTTGCCCCAATATTATTTATGCAAAAGAAAAAAAAACAAACCAATAATACAAAACTTCTCCCCCTCGGATATAAAAGTCAGTTATTTTGATTTTAGGCTTGCTGACACATATGGAACATATGAGAATGGATCCGAAACATCAGTTTGCAGCGCAGTATGTTCTTAGTCGAGCAGCGGCTGAGAGGAGAGAACGGGAACTTCTCGCTGGTTCCAGTTTAGGTATTATTTCAAATTCTCTCTAGTCATAGTGATAATATATTAAGTTCAGTTTCAGTTCTGTCCTACGATGGAAAAAATTTCGCTTTTCTTTGTAAAGATAGTAAAGTTCGTTATTCCATAAATACAGAATTACAAACAATTACCATGGATAATCTATCGAACCCCTTGATGCAAGAACCAGACATAGACCATTGAAATCAAATGGATTGCGTCTGGCTCTTGCATCAAGGCATTCAATGATAGTAAAGATTGTAATGGTTAATGACAGTAAAGATTGCAATGGTTAATGATAGTAAAGATTGTAATGATTGTAATGTTTGGAAAGTAAAAGATTTCTTTCAATCTCGAGTAGGTCTCGGTGTTTTGGGGAGCCAAGCAGGAGGACCTCAGAATTTACAACAACCACCAATGTGCCCTTCGCCCTCGGCTCATTCAGATAGCAGTAGTGGAAACGGAAGACTGTCCTCAGCCGGTAGTGAACCTGGTACGCACAAATCACGTCGTATTTTATTGCTTCAACTCAACTTGTACATGCAACGAAAACCCATAAAACATAACTCATAACCATGTAAATTTTACGAACTAGCTCATATTCTGCAGTATCGTTTCTTTTTTCTCCCCCCTACGATTTTTAACTCCACTTGAAATTGAATGGTTTTATGAAAGGAACATCAACGCCACAAAGGGAATGTTCACTTTCATTTTGACAACCCTGGTTATATATATCTATTTTGCAAATTTCAATTCTTTCTCTAGGACTTTATACAACATTTATGAATAAGTAAACCAGACAAATTTAAACACGATAAAAAGATCTTTAATTGTAAAATTTTAAAGGTTTTTAACTATAGATTTCGAAGGTTTTTAAAAATTTTCAAATTAAGATTTTTAAGAATTTTGAGAAGTAAGAGGACTTAGAGATTTTAGAAGGTTGTGAAGTTGTGATGATAAGGTTGTTTAATAGAAGATTGCATGCACTTAGAAGCAATCAAACATTGTGCGATTTTCTCGAACTGAATGTACTGATTAGAGTAGATTTTTGCGCAGGCACCGGTCTTCTCAACAACAACAATAACAACAACAACAATAATATGGCATCGCCAGGACCAAGTGGAAACAAACTCAGCGAAATGTTGCGAGCGAGCAGTCAACCTGGTTCGGCGCAACACTATCAGGAACAAATGGAGTCGCAACAACAACGTATGGCTGTCATGGCTGCAGTATCCGCGGGTACGGAATTTTTTCCCTTTCCTACATTTGCAATATTCCCAAGAATTAAAAATCGCTAACAGCAAATAAAAGACAAAAAATTGTGTAACAAAAATGGTGTTTTGTTTAAAGGACTTCAAACCTCGCCGCCAAATTTGTCATCAATGGACGTGGCGCAAATAGCGGTGGCAATGAGGATGGGCAACAATGGTGATATGGGTGGCGGCGGTCAAGGATCGACTGGACCCCAACAGCAAGGAGTACAGGCTTCCGGGCCCGAGCAGGCTCTCAGGATGCACCAGGCGGAAGCAATATTGCGTTCCCATACGGAGGCTGCCCTCAGGCTAGCGGTGAGTGCACCTTGCTTCCGCTTTGATCTCCCAGCAACCAATCAAAATTGGCTTTTCGGCAATTCGGCAAAGGTAATCGTTAACTCTAGGCAATGCAACTAATTTCAAAATCATGAATATTTAATTTACAGATGTCACAAGCTGCAGCGGCCGCCGCGAGTTCAGGCGACATGAGGCATCATCTTGGACAGCACAATGGTGGCGGTGCATCCGGTATGCCTGGACATCATACGAATCAACAACTCTCCCAACCCGATACACTATCACCTGACCTAGGTAATTATTGCAATTTTATTCACTCACAATAATAAAAAACAATCTCCTCGAATTAATTTAAAAAACTTAACCAGACTCGTTTTACTTTGCCCTGAACAGCAGAGCAGCTCAGACTTCAGGAGCAGCGATTAGAGCAGGCACTGAGGCTTCACGGGGATCCTCGAGCGCTTAGTTTCAGTCTCCAGCATGTCGTTAATCAACAGAGTAATCAACAACCATGAAAATTCAGTTACTACTGAGACGAGTGGACCCCTTGGACGACGGAGACGTCCCTCCCTGTTGATAGGGATTCGCAGGAGCGAACCCTCAATCAAAATCATTCAATCATCAATGATCAACAGGTATCAAAGTTGGCCCTTCAACTCCCCGAAGATCGTGGTATTAAACGAAAGGCCGACGAAATGAGTGGTAACGTCGAGAGCGCGTAGAATCATCATCATCAAGCTACCGTTCGTTCAAGAGTGGTCATTTCTCAAACACTCCCTGTCTCAGCAGTTCAGCAAAACATATTCCAAGACTTTCATCGAACAGTTTGTTATAGTGGTGACAAAAGAAAAATTTGTGCACTCCCACAAAACAAGTGGGGCTGTTCGTAAAGCTCATCAAAACAATATGGACTCGTAACACACGAGTTAATCTAGATCGTTGGACGGTTCGCAATCTTTGGCTCTGCGACGAACTTTTATTTGTTAGTCCTGACCCGGAATGTAGACTGATGTTAAATTCAAGACCTTCGAGTCGAACAAAAGAAAAAAAAATATTGATCTCTACTGGGTCTTTGCCTTTCTCAATTAGTCCTCCCACGGGCTTAAATGGGTGTTCAGGACTCGTCACAGCGCCAAAGACTGGGACCCAAAACGTGCCATAATTTAAAAGTATAATAATAAATAAAGAGTTCGTTTCTAAATAACATTTGTTCGCTAAAAAAATTAAGAGAAAAAAAAGCAACAAACGTTCATTTACCAACACTCTCCCCAAGGTACTATGATGGTACAAGAGCCACTAACGGATTATGGGAGAAGGTCACGGGCGACCTATCTCCTCATAAAAGGCTCAACAAACTAAACTAAAGCAAACTTAAGGTTCCCTTATTCTTAATTCATGTAAAGTTTAAGGCGTTAATTCCCCCGAGCGTCAAGGTATCTCACGTGGATGCGCAAATTCGCGTGAGCCCTGCGCAAGGACTTTGACGGGACACATTAAAAAGACGGACGTTACTGAAGACACACTAACACAATACTCAGATATAAACACACAGACACGAGAAAAAGAAAACTGAAAGTTATATACTTGAACATAAAACACACTGTGAAAAATAATAACACTAATAAACACTCATCACGAAACATTCATGCGCGCAAATGTGCTCACTGTAGCACAAAAACTATTAGCTCATAAGCGAACAAACAAAATATAATTATTACAAACAAGTTATATTATATATATTATATATACATACAGAATAATATGAAAAAATAAAAATTAGAGCGCGAGAGTGCATCGTGAGAAAGCAAGAGAGATAAAAGAAAAAAAACTAAATGCTAAATATTATAAATATATATTATATATAAATATTATAAATAATGAATATAGGGTCTATGAGACTAGATTAGTTAGGAGGAAAAAAAGAAACCGAATGAAAGGACCGCTTGCGTTCTTTTACTTATCTTCTCCTTTCTCCCTTAAAAGGAGTCCGAATGAATGAATTTTTAGATTAAAATCCAAAAAAGTGAAAAAAATACTCGAGGAGTAAGATAAGAAAAATTACGCAAGCTCAAAGAGTACAAGTGTATGCCTAAAAAGCCTGCAAGAAACAATGAATGAAAAATCGAATGAAAGTCGAAATGAAAGAAATGAATGAAAAATGGTACGATTGATATAATCTGAGGTCCTGTGATCGTTATAAGCGAAATATTTTTTTATTTCCGAGTAAACGCGTAAAACTTGCGTCGTTTTGAACTTTTACTTGCAATATACCGTTACGTTCTCGCAATATACTTAGAAAGAAGAGGAAGAAGACGAGTATGAGATCATGGGCAAAAAAAACACTCACATAAAAAAGTAGGTTCAAAAAGTAGAACCAATTTTCAAAAAGAAAAGACTCGCGCCCTAAAGTCGTGATCGTTCCTACTTTCGATGGGGATACTTTCAAATATGTCCAGAGAGATTTATCTTTGACCAAAACGAAAGAACGCGACGTTAGGTTCGAGAACGCGATAAACGATGTAAAAGAAACGTGGAAATTCGGTAATCGACAATATTTATAGATAAGCTCGATCTAGATTAAAAGCAACAAAAGAAAAATACTCTGAATTTTGTTTTCATAAATTTTCATTAATAAAAATCTGTTTTTAGTTTTGAATAAGTCATTCTTAAATCAAAATAACAATACGTAATTTTTACTCTCGCGGAATACGTAAGGCACAGGAATGAGAGAGAAACAAGAGACTTTTCATCCTATTTAAAATACTTTTTCATTTCTCGTCGCGTTTCTATAATATTAATGTTTAAACTAAAACAAAAAAAGCACTGGATTTTTCGCGCTCCTCGTTTCATTTAACGTCGTTCTTTATCTTCTTCGAATGAAGCGGATGACACGCGCGGAAAAGTCGCTTTTCACCATAAAAAAACAAAAAAAAAAATCGGAACGAGAATAAAGTACTAGGGATTCATCGTCAAAGCTACAATTTTAAGATCTGAAACGCCTCGCCTCGAATTCAAAATTAAAAAAGAAAAGTGGTAGTAGATTCAAAATGTCAGGAGGTGTACGCGTCAACGATCATTGATTTCATTCTTCTTTTTTCCGTTACAGAAAATTTTTCCCTCGGATTAATTAGTGTAAATAAACACAAATATTCACAGCGTAAACGAGAATTAATTACGGTAAAACTTAAACGAGTACATAATGCAATAGGGTTAGTTTCTCTGTAAATACCTAAAGCGTGGGCGAGTGCATACCCTCGCCTTCGTAACCAATGATAATATTTTATCAAATTAAAAAAAAAACCGAGCTTCTGTTTAGTCATCGATTCGAGCAAATTTTTTCCAAAAACAAATGAAACAAACTGTTTTTGCAACGAATCGATTTTTTCTTCTTTCATTTTTCAAACAATTAACACGCGGTACGTCACTCATACTGACACACATCCACACACAAATTTTTACACAAGAAAAAAAATTTTTTGAAAAAAAGCATTGCGATGGATTGTACAGCTACTACGATAGAAATAGAATGTAAGCCTTTACACCTTTACACACAATTCGCACCACCGGCACAACTGGCCTCCACATTTTCGTAGGGACCAAACATTTCTTTAAAAATCATTTTTCACCGAAAAAAAAAATTAAAGAAGCGAGAATGGATTTCTAAATTCTTGTCCCTAAAAAAAGTTTCTTTGGTCCCTAAGACAGGATTCAAATTTACAATCGGGGTAAATAAGTACCGTTGCTAGCGGAATATGTACTATTCTGATTTTAAGCTCAGTTGTACGCATTTCCCTCCCGATGTAAATTCGATCAAGTGAGATAGAACCGCGAAGAAAATAAACCCAATAATGAAAAAAAAAAAAAATTCGGTGCATCCAGCGAATGTGTACATTTTTCTTAACTCAAAAAAAAAAGTAAAGCTACACAAATACAATAGCTCATAGTGTATGTTCTGTAATCAATGATCATAAGGTAAAGAATAATAAGAAAAAAAAGACGTTGACAACCGTACCGGCGCGCGGCGGTTGTCAACAAAAAAAAGCACAAAAAAAAATTTACAAATATATTGATTTACATATGCCCGTAACTCGTAAGGGGGGCTGGTGGTGCAGCTATTGCCGTAAACTTTCCATTAAAGAATCGTGTGCCAGGTGAATCGATGAATATTCCCAAAAAAAGAATTGAAGATCTCTTGTATGGCCCAAAAGGAAGAATGATTCAAATACAAAAGGAAAAAAAATAAAAACACAGGCTCAAACACAGCTGCCAAATCGGCCCCACAAAACCATAATCTTAATCTCTTCATGTAAATTTGCTAAATGTTTGTAAACTAAAGAAAAAAAAATGCCATAGCCCGGATGCGCTGGTGTATACTCCCAGCGCATACACATTCACAAATACGACTCGACCTCGAATTAAACGCAGTAAATAAAAATCCGCAAAGCGCGGTAAAATTGGTAAATGCGCCAAATAAATATAAACATGACCATACACAATCACACGCAGATATTAGAGCGTCGTAAATATGCCCACATTTACGCGCCTAAAAAAAATAAAAAATAAAGCCCTGGTAACCAAAGCGTGCTCCCCGCACGCTCCGAACATACAATCTCTCATACACGGGAGCGCTTTTCACGCGCTCTCACAACACATTTTTACACACTCCACACACAAATATTACAATTTAAAAAAAAAAAATACACACTACGGATATGTAAAGCCAATTACTTTTGTAAATTCTCAAAAAACAAAAAATTTTATCAAAATTCTGCTAAAATTGCCAAATGTTTATTTTATTCTGAAGAGCGCTAATTTACAATGAGCGCCATTGACAGGGAAAGGTATTTTCCAAAAATTGCTTTTCCCTATCAAAATTTTTTAAAAAATAAAAAAGGCAAATTTTCATACTTTTTGGATGCACAGAGAATGGAAAAATAAATGACCATACCAACAAAAATACCATACCGGATATGACAACAAATAACGCTAAGGCCTTTTTTCAAACAAACAAAAAAAAAAAGGCCGAAGGCAACACAAACCAACGACGACATTTAACGCGACGACGTTTTACTATAGCGTCCTTGCGACAATGCGGCTTTACAAGCGAATAAAAAAGGAAAAAAAAATAATAATATTTATTTGTTTTCAAATCGGGTTTTAATTTTTTAATGAAATAATCTTTACAGTACGAATATACGATATACGTGGATCGGAATTCTTTTTTGCGAAATAATGCAAATTGAAGATAAAGGAAAGAGAGAGAGATAGATAAAGATAGAGGGAAAAAATTTAAAAAATGGAGAATAAATTTATAAAGATAATTAATTATGGTATATGTAATTTTAATGTGGGTATAATAATTATACTTGTGATGAATATGCTTTTGGCTTTGGGAATTTTGATTTTTGTTAAATAAATAAGTAAATTAATTGTAATTGAAATTGTAATTGAATTTTAAGAGATTGCAATTGAATTATTATCTCTTATAATTGAATTATAAGAGATCATAATTCAATTCTATAAAATTATAATTGAATTGTAAAAGATTATAATTTAGTAAAATTTATTCTAAAATTAATCAAAATTTGTCAAAAATGTCAAAAAATTTGGATTTTTCCAAAATATTTAATAAAATTTATTCTAAAATTAATCAAATTTGGCAAAAAATTTGGATTTTTCCAAAATATTTAGTAAAATTTATTCTAAAATTAATAAAATTTGTCAAAAAATTCAAACAATTTGGATTTTTCCAAAATATTATTATATTTGTTATTTCACATTTGTTACCTTTTATGAAAAAATTTCCAGGTTTAAAAACTCTGAAAAATAATATAAAAAGACATTTTTGTTCCAAAAATCTAAAAAATTTTCTAAAGTTTGCAAAAAGTAAAAATTTTGTTCTTCAAGCACAACTAAAAATTTCTCCACCTTACAAACAAATGAAAATTTTTTTTAAGTTTTTCTTAAAAAATAATGGAAAAAAGGGGGAGAAAATATATGATTTTTGGTGTTTTAGGGGATTTTAATAATTTAAGGGAGTAAAAAAGGGCAAAAAGGGGACTAACCGTGATCCATAAAATTATAATGATTTGTAATACAATTGTGATACAATTAAAATAGGTTGTAATACAATTACAATAAATTAGGCCACTATATTGTTTTTTTAATCAAAAAAAATTTTTTTTTAACAAAAAATTGTTTTGTATTCAAAAAATTTATTCTCTTAAACAAACAATTGTTTTTTCAAAAAAAATATTGATTTTTTTTCCCAAAAAATTGTTAGTTCGAACAAAACTTTATTTTTTTAAACAAAATATTGTTTTTTTAAACAAAAAATTGTTAGTTCGAACAAAACTTTGTTTTTCTAAACAAAATATAGTTTTTTTAAACAAAAAATAGTTTTTCAAATTAAAATATTTGTTCTTTTAGCCAAAAAATTGTTTTCTTCAAAGAAAACTTTGTTGTTTAAAACAAAAATTGTTTTTTAACCAACCATAAAAAAATTTATAAAGCCATATACTTTAATTAATAAAAATCTTAAACTTTTTTTTAAAAAAAGGCCTAATGATTTTAAGCTATTATGGCCAAACAAAAAAAATTTAAGAACATTATTAATGTTAAAATAAATCATTATGACACAGTAAAATTATAATTACAGTTTAATTACAACCATAATAAATTACAATTATAATAAATTATCTCTCCACACAAATTTTCAGATACGAAATGAAGAAATATTCTTGCAAATGAATTCCGCGCGAGCGTCTATGTATATTCGTGTGTACCGTAAACATACGCAGCATATATGAATACCGACAGTCTATAGCAGTGCGAGCGCCTCGGCATGTCACCGCGTTTTCACGCGATGATCCCTGTTCGAGCCTCCGTGATTAAAAACCGGAATAAGTTGTTTCAATGTCCACTGTATAAATGGGAGACGTAGTTTTTTATGGCAATGTTCTTCTGACATCATACAAATTTCACAAAAATTAAAAAAAAAAAAATCAAAATAAATCTGTTGAAAAAAAAAAAAAAAAAATTTAAAAAAAATTTTCAAAAAAACATCTTGAAAATTAAAAAGTTGATAATTGGTCAGAATTCATTGCGCGGCTTTTTGAACGGAGCTTTTAAATTGAAAATCTCGAGATTGAAGCTCCTCGAGAAGCCATAGAATTGAAAAATATTCTCCGACATTTCGTTAACGGGAATAAATTTTTTTTTCAGACCCCTCGTCCCTAAGAAAACCCCCCACGTTACGCTTGTCCGAAATCAAGTCGAGAAAATTTTTGAAAAATAATTCGATGGGGAAAAAAAGAAAAAAGGGAAAAAATAGAAAAAACGGGAAAACAGAAAAAAGAAATAATAGAAAAAAGGGATAAATTAGAAAAAATAGTAAAATTGTGTAAAATAAAGCAGAATGAAGCAAAATATAACAAAAAAAGAAAAAAATTTACATATTTTTAAAATGTAAATGAAAAAAAAAAAAAAGTTTCATTGATAATATCCGGTGAGTGGGTGCCTCTGTCAGGGTTTTCCGTTACAGTACAAGAAACGTTTTCACGTATAACTCACAATTAGTAGATACTATTAGTAGAACAGTAATTACCGTATACCGCAGTTAAACAATTAATAATAAGAAATACAGGAAGTCGTCATTCTCAGTGTCTAATCGTCCCACGTGCTTTAAAAAACAACCAAAAAAAAAGCACTGCACCGTATTTTTCGAGCGATCCAACCAAAAAAAAACACCATCCCTGATCTTCCAAATTCCCCCCACCAAAAAAAAAAAAAAAAAAAAAAAAAATCCCTCTTCCCAAAATTGAAAAAAAACAGACGCTCCTCATTACGAGTAAATTTTACAAGTAAATAAAAAATATTACTAAATGTTTAGTAGATTAGCCAACGTATTATACTCGATATAGGCGAGAGACGATTGAATGGAGCCATATTTAAACTTTATCAGATATTCAATTAATTAACCGTAATCATTGTCAAGTCATGACATGTTAATTAACAGTAACCTACGCATACGCATAATTATTATTAACAGTAATCGAATATAAGACGCGATATTACAAAGAATGTCGCTCTAAACAAATACATAATTAATAAATATCGCGGAGGCACTCCCTGCGGATTTTGATATGAGAAATGTGAAAGAAACTCGACTCTCGGACATGAAAACGTTTTGGGGGGGGAATTTGTATACGCCAGCAATTTGGAATAACGCGAAAAAAAACAACAACAAAAAATCAAAATTATTGTCGGAAAATTCAATTTTCCTTTTTCGACAATAAAAAATTGTTTTTCTAAATGAAAAATTGTGTTTTAACCAAAAAATTTGTTTTTTTAAACAAACAATTGTTTTTTCAAACAAAAAATTGTTTTTCTAGACAAAAAACTGTTTTTTTAACAAAATATTGTTTTTCTAAACAAAAAATTGTTTTCTCAAACAAAAAATTGTTATTTTGACAAAAAATTTGTTCTTTAAAACAAAATATTGTTTTTTCAAATGAAACTTTATTGTTTTAAACAAAAAATTGATTTTTAACAAAAAATTTTTTCTTTTCAACAAACAATTGATTTTTAACCAAAAAATTTGTTCTTTTCAACAAACAATTGTTTTTTCAAACAAAACTATTTTTCTTAACAAAAAATTTTCTTTTTCTATACAAAAAAATGTTTTTTTTAACAAAATATTGTTTTCTTTTAACACAAAATTTTTTTTGAATTAATAAATTTGTTCTTTTAAACAAAATATTGTTTTTTCAAACAAAACTTTCATGTTTTAAACAAAAAATTCTTTTTTACCAAAAAAAATTGTTCCTTTAAACAAAATATTATTTTTTAAACAAAAATTTAATGTTTTCAACAAAAAATTTGTTCTTTTAAACAAAACTTTGTTGTTCTAACCAAAAAATTGTTCTTTTAAACAAAAAAATAGATTTCCTAAACAAAAAATTATTTTTCTAAACCAAATATTGTTTGTTTAACAAAAAAAATTTGTTCTTTTAAACAAGAAATTTGATTTTTTAAAGAAAAATTTTTTCAAACAAAAAATTTGTTCTTTTAGAATTTAAACAAAAGATTGTTTTTCTATACAAAAAAATGTTTTTCTAACAAAATATTGGTTTTTTTAAACAAAAAACTGTTTTTTTAAACAAAACTTTGTTGTTCTTTTAAACAAACAATTTGATATCTTAAACAAAAAATTGTTTTTCTAAACGAAA